CGCACGACGTCGGGAAGGCCCTGGGGACGGGACGGAAAGAATTCAGGGAAGAGCGAGGACCCAGGGGACAGACCGGCCGGCGTGCAGGGCCAGGAGCCCCGACAGAAGGAACGTGCTGCAGCACGGAGGGGAGCACGTCTGGAAACAACAGAGACGCGTTTTCCAGAGTTGAAGACAACTGCACGCAGAGTGAAAGGGCTCACAGCCTCAAGTAGGAGAGATAAAGAGAAATCTGCACTGTTAGAAAGTTCTAGAAACACCCCCAAAGACCATGGCGTAAGAACTTGATGGACGGTGAATGCTGGACTTTTCCACCGAGTACAAGGAGACCACGAGGTAATGTTTCTTAAGTACTGAAGGAATCACACTTCCCACGTGGAGGTTTACACCCAGCCAGGCTGGAAGCACAGTGAGAGTGTCCTCAGCAATCCCGGGCTTCCGGAGGCCGTGCACCCCCAGAGCCACGTTCATAATGCTTTGTGTTTCGTAAGTAACACCATGCAGGAGAAGCTGCAAGAGGTGTGGGAAACAAGGATGATGTCATCCTGGAATATATACTCATCGTCTTCAACAAGAAAAGGAAGAGGTAACGTCCACGATAACTCCGCGTGGTAACTCCGGACAATAGCCACAGTGCCGGGAGCAAGGGCTGTGTCCAAGCTAAAGTGCTTCACTGTCAGGGGAAGATGCAGCTGCAGGGGCACACGGGCCAAACAAGGGAAGGGGGTTCTTGCCCTGGCCGGTGTGGCTCAGTGGATTTTGTAGCCTGTGAACCGAAAGGTTGCCGGTTCGATTCCTGGTCAGGGCACAGGCCTGAGTTGAGGGCCAGGTCCCTGGTAGGGGGCGCACAAGAGGTAACCACACATCGATGTTTCTCTCGCTCTCTTTCTCCCTCCCTCTTTCTCCCTTCCCCTCTCTCTAAAAATAAATAAATAAAATCTTTAAAAAAAGAAAAAGGGTCTTAAATCAAGGGCAGTAGCCACAGAATAGAAATAATAAAGGTAAGCCAGTAGAAGAAAACTCACTATACTCAGTGAGAAATACAAGTTACACAGTGACTGCAAATTCTTAGTAAGATGGCCAAGCTAATTCTCTATGTAACTAGTTACTGTAAATGTAACTAGTTACTATAAATGTAAGTAAGTTAAATCCAATTGAAAGGTACAAACAGATTACATTTAAAGACTTCCACACCGGGTTGCTGAAAAGAGATACACTCACGAAAAGATACAAAGTTTAGAAAGAAACAGTTGGCGAAAGACACCCGAGACCAGTAACGAACCAGAGGAAACTGGGTGGACATCTTCATATGTAACGTTCAAATCTGAGGCAAAAAATGAAAACAGAAAACGCCCAACAACCAAGAAGCCCACCCCAGCAGGCCGATGGGCAGGCCGCGCCCCTCAGAATCATTCCGGTGCCTCACAGGCTGCAGTGAGCAGCACCTGGTGGCAGCCCGAACCGCGGGGAGAGAAGATGCCACAACCATTGTAACGGGAGAATTTAACCTAAAACCAACCACTTAACAGCTCGAGTGGACAAAGAGTCGCAGGAACTCCGATCCCGAACCGTTAGCTGTGTGCAGGACTCGATGCCCATCGAACAGAGATGCAGAATATTTACGGGCCGTGCGTCTGGCCCTAAAGAAGCTTCCGTTTATTCCTGGGGCAAAATCCCGTGCGGGCTGAGCTGCCCCTCCGTCTGTGCTTCTCAGCCCCCTGCGCCCCAGGTGCCAGAGACCGCCCTAAAGGGACTCGGCCGCGGCGCCCGTGTCCAGCCGAAGGGGGCACTACCGTACCCTGCAAGGAGGGGGAGTGAGGGCCGGGGGTGTGCAGCCTGCACCCCTCAAGGCTGGCTGCACCTCCAGCTGCGGCCTCTGCTCCCCCCAGGGCCACCCCCTTCCTCCCCCCCCAGGCCACAGTGTCACTCACCGGTGATTCCCGCACCTCTGTGACCATGCCCTTTAGCAAACACATCTCCAGTCACCGCGTTTGAGTGTGCCATCCGCGTTCCGCCAGGATCCTGACTGCACACAGAACTCGCTCTCAAACAAGAGTGCAATTACATTAGAAACCGGCAACACAAGACTACGATAAAAGAAACTCCATGGCAAGTAAATAACATCATTAAGTGACCCACGGGCTAAAAGGAGGTTTTACCAGGGACGTTAAGAAATGTTTAGACCTGAACGATAGTGAAAGCACCGGGCGTCCCAGGCTGTGAGACTCGGGGAGGTAGTTGCTGTGGCGGGAGTTTTGTAGCTTTGCGTAGACCTGTCAGAAAACGAGAAGCTTAGCAATAAGTGAGATAAGCGTTTAGCGCACATCCGAACAGCAGACCACGTCGGAAGAACCTAGAGAGAAGGAAACACTGTAACACACGAGGACAGAAACAAATGGGGTCCAGGGAAAGATGAGCACATTCACCAAACTAGAAGTTAGTCCTCTGAAATGTTTTACAATGTTACCAAAGAAAAATGCAACCCCTGGCGGGTGTGACTCAGTGGACTGAGCACCTGCCAGCAAGTTGAAAACTCACTGGTTCGATTCCCAGTCAGGGCACACGCCTGGGTTTCCCACCAGGTCTCTGCCTGGCCCCGCCCCGCCCCCCGCCCCCCCCCCGTTGGGGGCGCAAGAAGCAACACACTGATGTTTCTCTTTCACCCTCCCTTCCCCTCTTTCTAAACATAAATAAAAATAAAATCTTAAAAAAAGAAAAATGCAAGTAAAATTGCACGTGAAAAAGGAGAAATAAGTACAGAAACAATAGGTACAAGAATAGATATGCTGACGTTTTTAAAACCTCAATGAAATGGATTAATTCTTAAAAGCGTGTAAAGTGACCATTTTGGTCCAAGGAGAGAACTTGGCCGGATCAATGAGTGTAATAGAAATGGAAATGATAAAGCCCCCTCCCCACTCCCGGGGTCCCAGATAGTGTATTTCCATTAAAAGCTTGGAGGGCAAACAATTTCTCCTTTACGCAGGTGGGGCTTTGGAGGGCGCGGCGGTGGAGGGCAGCCTCCCTTGCTGACGGTCCCTTCAAGGCACGTGCCCCACAGATGCTGCAAACGGGGGGCCGCGCCTCCTGCCCTCCGTGCCGCGTGAGGATGCGGTGGCTACTCGAGCAAGGCCCCAAGGTGGCGCGGAGCCCGGCGGGGCGCCGGGTGGGGGGCTGAGCCCCGGGATGCTGAGGACGCAGGCGGCAGGCGCAGGGATGGAAAGGGACCGGCCGGGCTTCCAGGTGGCGTGACGTCACCTCCCCGCCGCAGTTCCGGTGGGTGAGCTGGCCGGGGCTCTGTCCAAGTCGCCCGGCGCCGAGCGGCGGGCGGAGGTTGGTGGCGCACACTGGGGTGCCAGCCTGTTCCTGGTGGCCCAGAGAGGGGCTGGTGATGGACGGCGGCCCGGGTTTGCCAGTGGGGACCCAGAGCGGCGTGTCACTCGGTGGCCCCGGGAAGTTAGGCTGGAGAGACAGGGTGTGAGGACAGCGGGGCCGAGGACCCGGAGGGGTGGGGCGCGCCGGGGTGCCGTCTCCCCGGTCCTGCCCGGCGGAGGAGACGGCGGACCCGCAGGGCCGAGGGTTGCATCATCCCGCCGGGAGGGCTGTCCCCGAGACTCTGGTTCGGTCCAGTGTTCTGGCCGAACTCACCTGTTACGCTCGAGTACGTGTTCCCATCCTGCCCCTACTGCCGCCCCCTGGTGGAAGGAGCCCCCCTCCCAGCTTCGTCCCTGCGAGAGGACGCGTTTGTGCTGCTGGCCTCGCGGCGGGGGGCGGGGGGGGGCAGGTAGAGAGAGATTGCAGGTTTGCAGGAGAAAAGGGTCAGATTCCAGAGGGCCCGGCGCGGGGTCAACGGGCAGGTTCGGTTGGGTAAGGGTCTCGGGGGTTGGGCGCGCCGGGTCCCTGTTCCGGGCCAGATCGCGCGGGCGCGCGGGGCCGGCGCAGGGAAAGGGCCCGTCTCGCCCGAGCCTGGGGGTCAGTCCCCCACCTCTGCATCCAGCGCGTCGCGGCGTCAGCGGTGATGTCACGGCCGGGACCCAGCCCCCTTTGGCTCCAGCTCCAGCCCCATCCCCGCGGCGGCCGCGACGCCCGTCCCTCTCCCCGCGCGACAAACCAGCGGGCGGCTGGACTCGGGCGCCGCGCGCAGCCAACCAGCGCGGCGGGAGGGGCGCGGGGCGGGGCGGGGGGCGCGCAGCCCGTCACGCGGGGCCGCCCTCACACCGCCCAGTGCAGCCCCGGAGCCGCAGCAGCTCGGTGCGCAGGGACCCGAGCCCGGCTCGCGCCCATGCCGGGACGCCGCCAGTGACGCCGGAGAGGTAAGGCCGCCGCCCGCCCGGCCTCCTCCGCCGCGCCGGGCATCCCGCATCCTGCACCTGCTCGGACTGCGCCCCCGCGGGGAGCTCGCGCCCGGCGCCCGCGTCCTAGTCCAGGCCCATGCCGCTGGCGCCGCGCGGCGCCATCCCTTCCCCCACCCTCCTCCGTCCCCGCGGATAACAATGGGGCAAATTCAGGGGTGTCCGCCCTTCATTCCAGCCTAGCAGGGCGCTCCGGAAAGGCCCCTTCGCTGCGGGCCCTGCGGCGGCGGCGGCGGCGCTCTCGGCTGGGATGGGCGGGGGTCGCGGGGGGCGGACGAGCGCCGTCAGGGACATCTCCAGACTCCCGCGACCCTCCCTGGCTCTGCCCCTCCCGGAGCCACAGAGCGGGGGTGCGGCGCGGGCTGCGCCTGGACCCGCGGGGAGGGGAGGGGCGCGGGAGGGGCGGAGAGGGCTCGGAAGGGGGCGCCGGGGAGGGGCGCGGCTGCAGCGGCGGGGCCCGGGGGAAGGGCGCCCGGGGCGCGGGGCGAGCGGGGCTGCCCTGGTCCCCGGGGTGGGGGAGGGCAGATGTTGGATCCAGAGCAAAACACGAGGGCGGGCGGGGCGCGCGGAGGCTGCGGCGGGAGGACCGGGCCGCTGGCTTCGTGCGCACTTCGGGGGCTGCCCGTCACCCCCTCCCCAGCCGTGTCCTCTTCCCAAGGGACCCCAGCTCCTTTCCAGAAAGACCAACCGCTTGGAGGGGCCGCCCGCGGACACGGCCTGAGTCTGTGCGGCCAGCGCCGCGGTAACAGGTGCGGCCTGGCAGCGGGCGCGGAGGGGGCTGCGGGACTACATCTCGGCCCCCCCCCCGGGCCGCAGGCACCCGGGCTCGGATGTCAGGGAGGGAGAGCGCAGGGAAGACCTTCGCCCTCCCCCTTTAAGCTGCCTCCCCCCGCTTTCACTCTCCCGGGGGGTCTGGGGGGGATGTCCGCAGTCGGCGGGGCGCTGGGGGGGCGGCGGAGGGGGGGGCGGCGGTCCGCAGGGCCGGGAGGGGGAGGGGGAGGAGGGAATGCCAAGTCATGGGGCCTGCAGGGCGCGGGCGCGACGTCACCCCGGCGCGGACCCGATGCGCGCCCGCGGCCCCAGGAACGGGGATATTCCCCCGGAGACCGGCGGACCCCTCCCCGAACGGCCGCCGCCAGGGGTTGCCCGCGTTGTGGGATCAGAGGGCCCTTGGGGCTGCCGGGCTGGGTCTGGGGGGCGGGGGTTGGCGGTGCGACACCCCTGTCTTAGCCCCGGGGGCGCAGGCGCAGGAGCCACACCCGACCTGTCCTCCCCGCCCTGCTCCCGGCTGGCAGAGGGGCTCTGCCAGGGCCCCCTCGCCCACCGGCCTCCCGGCCGAGAAGGCGGCTGCCGGTCTGAAGGGAGACCACGGGGTCCAGCGCGGGGGGTTGGGGCTGCACCTGGCGGCCATTTTGCAGGTGTGGCTGTGGGCCGAGGGTGGTCGGGTTTGCAGCAGGTGCCGCGTCCGCAGTGCAGGTGAGCATCCGACGGGGACCGGGGTGTCCTCGTTGGTGTGTGGCCAGGGCAGCGAGGCTGATATCCCCTCCAGTGCAGTCAGCCCCGAGGCTGCCAGGGAGACCCCTGCGGGGACCGTCTGTCTGGGGCCAGCTGCGCGCCCCCCAGCCCCAGACTGCTCCTGGGGGCCTCCCGCTGCAGCCGCGCCCCCCCCCACCCCCAGGCGGAGACAGGTCCTGCCCAAAGCCCAGAGCGGTGCCGGCCGAGCTGGGCCTGGTACCCAGATGTTCGGGGAGGAGAGGTCCAGACGTCAGGCCTTGCCCGCTCCCCTCCCCCTTGACGTCACCACCTGTGCCGGCCCGGCCGACCGTGTCCCGTGGGAACGGGGGGGGGAGGTCTCCCGTGGGCTCTGGGGAAGGCAGGGTGGGGTGGGGGAGGCGGAGATGGGGCGGATGGAGGAGCCTCTGCAGGCCGCTGGGCTCTCACAGGCCAGCCGGGGCAGGGAGCTGGGTGGGGCAGGAGCTGGGTGGGGCGGGAGCTGGGTGGGGCGGACAGGGGACATTCTGGAGGGGCCCCGGGATCCCAGCCCGGGTCGTGGGGGCTGGGGGAGGCTGCCCTGGCCTGTAGGATGGGCTGACCAGGGCCGGTGCCCAGGCGACCCTATGCTTCCGAGAGCCGAGAGGGCCCGAGCCGCCGCCCCGGGGTGCAGAGAGGCCGGTCAGGGGTCACTCAGCAGCTAGTGACAGCCAGATGGGCACATGCTTGTCCCCCTGCCCAGCCCACTCAGTGTGCTTAGCCCAGGACAGGGCTCACCGCCCCGGAGGCCCCAGAGAATCCACTGTGTCACCCCCACTGTCCCTGTGTCTCTGTCATGCCCTGGAGCATCCCAGAACTCTTGGGCCGGACCGCACCCTGCCCCAAACCTGCCAGGTTGGGGAGTTTGGGGGCACAGCCAGGCTGGGGGGCAGTGCAGTCGTCCACTTCTGTTCCCTTGGCTGACCACCTGTGCCCACCTGGTCCCCCTTGCCTCCCACAGGCATGCCCAGGGTTGGGGCAGGACCCCCAGCAGGTCCTGCGCCCCACAGACCCTGCACCCCACAGACCCTGCGCCCCAGTGCCCCACCTGGCCTAGCAGGGCTTCTGCTGGGCTCCTGACTGTGACCGGTCCTGTTCAGTCCTGATCCGGCTGCTGACTGAGGGGCGCTGGCTGACCCGGGACCCCCAGGGCCCCCAGCCCAGTGAAGGAGCCAGCTGCCAGCTGAGGCGGAGCCCCCTGCCCCTCCCAGCCCCTCGTGAGGGCCTCCGGCCCCCAACACCACCCACACCTGCGCTCCCCCAGCTTCCCCAGCGCGGCCTGTGGGCCTGAGGGTCACCTCCATCTGGACACTCTGCCTAGGCGGCTGGGCCTCCTCTCTGCAGCCAGCTCACCCTGCCTGTAACCCCCTAACCCTTGGTCCGTGGGGAGGGGAGTGTCCCTATCCCCCCCCCCTCAGACTTTAGCTCCCGGGGTCTAAGGAAGGCAGGCTTGGACCCCACCTGCCCGGTTCCCTACTCCTGGTCCTCGCCCTGCCCCACGTGGCCCTGGGGCTGGAGCAGCTACCCCGCCCACACTCCCACACGGGCTCCCACACCGGCACACTCACCTCACTACATGCCTGTCGCCACACACACACACACACACACACACACACACAGTTTGCAGCGGCTGTGTTCCCCCCAAGGCTGCCACCACCCTGAAGCCCCCTATGAGCGCCCCCAGGGCGTCCCCCCGGCCCCACTGCAGGCTGGGGGTGGGAAGGTAGAGTGTGGGCATTTATTGGGTGCAGCCTGCAGTATACACAGCATGTAAGCCCCTCACCTGATGCCCCCCGAGACCCCCGAGGCAGGCGGTAGTGTCCCGTCTTTCAGGCTTGGAGACCGCGGCTCCTGAGGAGGGTGTGCCTGGTCAGGGAGGACCTGGGACTTGCCCCAGCTTCCCCTGCCTTCCGGAGGTTTCTGTGGCCCTCTCTGCACCCCTCTGCAGCCCCGGCCCGCCCCTCCGCCCCGCCGGCCCCGGCCTGCCCAGCGCTCTGCACGGCCCGGGCCTGGAGATGCCGCTCCAGGTGGAGCCTGGGAAGGTTTAGCGGACGTGGTTTGTTTCCCAGGGCCCAGCTGTCGCCTCCCCAGGGTGGGGCCCTCTGTGTGTCTCCGTTCAGGGCCTGCGGGGTCCCTTCTTCCAGGTCTTCTGAAACGCAGCTCTTGGTTTTGTAGGTGGAGTGGCCCCGGCCGCTCCTGTAGGCCCCGCTCCCCTGGAGCCCAGCCTCTGGCCTTCCCTCAGGGGCAGGCGGTGACAGCCAGGACTGCCCTGGAGGGGTGTGGGGTGTCCTGGGTCCCACCCCTGGGCCTCAGGTTCTTCCTCCACCTGTCACCAGCTCAGGCCAGGCTGGTGTGTGGCAGGGCTGGACTGTGAATGCCCGAGGCCATGGGGCGGAGGCAAGGGGGTCACTCAGCTGCTCAGTGTCATTCTCCACCCACCCCTGGGGCCAGGGCCATGCCGTGGGCATGGTCCCTGGTGCGTGGGGGGATGAGCAGGTGCAGGAGACCAGACCCAGACGGGGGGGGCGGAGCCTTAGGGCCGCGTCCCTCCCTCTTGCTCCGGCTTCACACTCAGGCAGGACGTTTTTGGTGTTCTCTTTGCCTAGATCTGAGCTGTCTTCTCTCACGTTGGATGCACTTCCTTTGTCCCCCCCTGTCCCCAGCTCTCCGACACTCTCTCCTCCTGCCCCCGCCACCCCCGGGAGCCAGCTCCATCCGGGGCTGGCGTCTGTGTCTCGGACCTCAGAGCGGCTTCTTTCCTGGTGTCCTGTCTTGGTCTGCGGGACACACCCTTGCGTGACTTTCCGGAGTGGCCGAGGGAGAGCGTCCCCGCTCTGTCCTTCGCTGGGCAGGCGGTAGGTTGGCTGACACCTGTTCCTGGCAGACCCTCTCCCTCGTCAGCACTGGCCGCTTCCCGGTGCATCTGGGGAGCCTCTGCCAGCAGCCAGGCTCTCTCGGGGCGCCTCCTGTCCGGGGCTTCCTGCCGGCGGGCGGCGGGTGGGTCTGCCCGTGCCGGTCCCGGTGCCGGTCCAGCCCTCTCCCCTGGGGCCCGGCTCTGCTCTCCCATCAGCCCCTGCGCTCCCCCCCCTCCCTTTGTTCTCTCCCCTGAAATCTGCTCGGGTCCGCCATGTGCTTGCCCTTCCCTCACAGCGTCCTTCCAGCTCCTCGTTTCTGCTCTGCGTTCCGGATCATTTTTGGCCTCATTTTCGAGGGTTTGGGGTTTGTTTTGTTTTGGGGGGGGGAATTTTGTGCTCAGCGTTCACATGTCATCTCCGAGAGCTCCGACTTCCTCGTCTTGAACCGGTCCCATCTCAGTGTCTTCCTCTCGTTTTGAAAATGTAGTGTCCTCTGGCGACAGCCTGCGGACGGCCACCAAGCTTTAGGATTCGCCTGCTGGTTTCTGCGTCTCTTCCGCGGTTCCTCTCTCTCTCTCCCTCCCTCCCGGGCTCGTGTGCCGCCTGCTCCTGCGCGTGGGGGCTGTGCTCTGCAGGGGGCTCTGACGGGAGCTCCGTCAGGGCTGGGCAGCAGCAGACCTTCCTCGCTGAAGGGGTGGGCACTGGCTGCCCGGCTGCCCCCCCCCCGTAACAACAGAATGCAGAGTGCGGGCCCGCACACTGGAGACGTCCCCCTGGCCGGATCACAGGCCTCCGCCCCCGAGGAGGGGGGTGGGGAGAGGGGTGTGGTCGTTCTAGGACTCCCCGCACCCCGGGCGCCCTTTCTGGTCTGCACCTCCGTGCCCGGGGGCCCGGCCGTGGGCCTGTGACCGCCTGGACCTCACTCCTCACACTGCCCGCCTCCCCCCCAGTGGCCAGCAGCTTCCCCAGGGGACCCCAAAGAGTGTCCTCTTCCCTTCTCCTGCCTCAGCGCCGTTAGGGGGACTCGCGCCCTTCTTCCTGCCCTCCAGCATGGGGTGTGGGGTGTGTCTGATGCAGTGACCCCGCCCCCCGCTCCCCCCCTCAAGGACTGCCCTGGTGCCCTGCCCTGTCAGCCTGAGTTCTCACTCCCCTTTACGGCAAGACTTCTCGGAAGAACCCACATCTTTAACACGGGTGCGTGTGAGGGCGCGCAAACCCGAACAAAGGGCGTGTCATCAAACAACCAGGCACCTACACCGACCTCAGGCGTGAGGCCTTTGCTTGGGGAGGTCCTGGGAGCACCCGGTCCCTTCACTCCCGGACAGCCTGGAGGTCCGCCCGACCCGTGGCGTCAGCACCCGGCG